AGATGACGTGGACTCAGGGGGCGTGGCGCCTGCAACGACGAGCTTTGTGGGGCTTGCTCTTAGCGAGGCGGTCCTGAGTGTTTCTTCCATCCTTCTTCTCCCTCCACGCTTGACAATTGCGGCTGTGGTCACCTGCGCTTCCTGTGGGGACAGTACCCCAACTGATGCACGAGGAGAGCACGGGGAAGAGGAAACAAACCCCAAACCAGATAACCCCCCTGTCATGGCGTCCATCTCAGTGCACATCCACCCTACAGGAAAGGCAGACCCGGAAAATGCCTGAGCGGATGAGGAACCCCGCATGTCTCCGCACAGTAACTACCAGGTGGGATAAAACAAGCGCGGAAGCAGACGTGCAAACTCGTGTCCCCGCAGAGGGGGAGGGGCTATGAAAACTGAGGCCAAAGTCCCTGTGGTGTCAGCACAGGATCCCCCTAGATGAGGGAGGGGCTGTGGATCTCACCCGCCTTGGCGTTGGCCCAGGGCAGTGATTTCAAGCCTCTGGCCCCCCTCCAGCAGGGTGAGAGGATCCCTCTGTTCTCAGCCCTCCAGTCAGTGGTGGTTTGTTACAGAAGCCAAAGGAAGCCGGCACAAAGGACATTCTGTCCCAGGACGCGGTGAGCGGTGGCAGAGTTCAGCCGAACCTCTTGCAGGAGGGAGAGCCGAGGCCAGAGCTTCCATGTACAGCTTCTGTAGAGCAGCCCCCATGCCCCATGGGTACTTGGCCTTCCAACCCAAACCAAAGCACTGTCTCCGAGGCGATGCCGACCCATGGCGACCCTATACGACAGACTAGAACTGCCTCTGTGGGTTTCAGAGACTGTTAATCTTGACCGGAGTAGAAACCCGCATCGTTCTTCTGCCGAGCTGCTGGTGGTTTTGAACTGCTGACCTTGCAGCTAGCAGCCCAAGGTGTGACCCACTAGGGGGCCACCAGGGCTCCTGTAATTCATCTACGGGGAAATAGATGCAAAGGCAGGACCCCAGCTCGCCGCTCAGTCAGGGACAGTGAGAAGAGAGCCCAGGGGAAGGGGGGAGGTGAGGACATCTTGCACTCTGTATTTGAGCCAAAAAAGATGTTCAAAGAGCAACTCGTGTCCTCCATGAATCAGAAGGACATCAGTCATCCACTACCCTGGCCGCAAACCCAAACCAAATTCCCTGCCATCGAGTCAATGCAGACTCATAGGGACCCACGGGACAGGGTAGAACTGCCCCTGGGGGGGTCCCCAAGTTGAAAGCCCCGTCTGTCTCCCAACCCCACCCTTAAGATGTCTGGAAAGAGTGCCGGCATGGGAAGAGATGGAGCCAAATAAATACAAGAAGCAAGTTGCTTGCACAGGGCACAGGGTGGCAGGCCACCATTGCATGGGCATCGTTCATTCATTCAAACAGGGGCAGGGCCGGGGCTGGGGCTGAGCTTCAAGGACTTCCAGGGGAAATGGAATGAAAGGATAATGGCATTTTCTTGAGAGCTTTTTGAACCCCGCGTTTGTATAAGATGGGGAGGAAAAGATGCACAGGAAGTGGGAACGCCAGGTGAGTCTCAGAAGCTGTCTGATACGGACCAGGGTTCAAGAGATCAAGAAACAGACCCGGCACCAGGCCGCTGAATTCCTGACCAAGAGAAGAAGCTGAAACCAATTACAGGGGATGCAAGGGGAAGAACGTTTCAAATCTTTAAGTAATTAGCAAAATGTCTGTTGATGTCCGGGAAAAAGAGACTCCGCGTTTCGAGCTCTCCCCACCTCTCCCCACTCCACCTCCCCCAACTCCCCCGCCTGCCCAGCAACTCCCCAAGATATGAGGAAATGCTTCCAAAATAAAGGAGACAGACTTGGGACCAAACGGTTCCACTGAGCTCCAGGCAGAAGCTTGTGGAGAACACGTCAGACCAAGAGACATCCCGCAGGGGTTATTGGATGTCAAGGAAAGTACGTACAGAGGAGCCTGCCTCGTCTCAGCTTCTCCGTGGAGGCTTTTGAAGTTGGCTTCCATGTGAAGCTGGCTCTGCCAAGGTCTTGTTCACGGGGGCCGTGGGGGACGTGTCATTCAAGAAGTTTTTGGCTCATTTGTGGTGATGAATTATGCCGACCAGACCCTCCTGGGTGAGGGTAGGGTGGACCCCAACATCAGCATATTAATTGTGGTGCAGCCTGATGACACTTCCCGGGGTTTGTTGGTTTGCTGGAAATGGGCTTGTTTATAACTGAAGCATCCACGTCCGCTTCAGTTCTACTTTCCCTCCTTCAGGTATCCACTTAGACCGCTGCTTAGATCAGAGGGGACAGGAATCTGGGGTGTGGGTTTTGTATAAGAGAGAGACCCAGCGCAGTGCTGAGCACTGTTGCCCCTTCACCTTCTACAACATCTGGTCCTACACTGGGTTCTTGATGTCCTATTCTGTAGCCTGCCAACCTTGGATTCTTTTTTCTCTGCATCCACCAGCCTGTGCCCCTCCTGCTCCATCATCCAGGTTCCTGTTCAGCAGCTTCTGCACCTGCACCAGCCTCCAGCTTATAGCTGACCCACAGACGTGAACAGGATTGGGTTTACCCACTTCCACAACGGCATGAGCCATTTCTTGACATTCTCTCTTTCTACAGACAGATAGACAGACAGACACAGACACCGCTGGTTTTGTGTCTCTGGAGAACCCAGCCTAACACCCCCATAGATGGTGGTAAATCGGACAGCCCTCACTCAGGAAACGGCAGGCAAGCAGTCTTCGGCACGCCTTCAAACGCACATTGTGAAAGGCCAGTGTCCAGTGGTTTAAACAACGAGATGCAGGTCATCGTTTAGCAGGAATGCAAGTGAGGCAGCTGCAGGGCTGAACGTTTCTGGGGCCCACTGACGCTCTCAGAGGTCCCGCGCTCACTGTCCACTGGAGTTACCATTGGGGGTAGGGTGTACTGTGCCTTCATGGCCACAGAATGTCATCAGCCACGTGACGCGCCACATGGTCACATCCTCGGCTTTTCTGTCATCTCAAGATAGGAGAGGGGCCAGCTGGGAAAGGCGAGCACAGCACAGTCTTAGAGCACTCACGATTTCCCTGTACCCTGCAGGGGAGTCCCCGCTTGGCTGTCTGTCTGTCGTGTTATGACGGCTGTATCCTGTTAGCGATGCCACCGGCCTTTCAGATATCAGCCGGGCTGCCCACTGGTGTTCAACCTTATGTCAATCTGCACCTGTGGAGGGGTGGATTCCAACCTGCCAATCAGGTAACAGCCTGGTGATGCCTCCTGGGAGGTGTGGCCTTTTTATAAGAGAGACACCAGGGACTCCCCTGCTCTTTCTCTGCCCCTTTGCCTGCCTGCTTGCTGGGGCTCTGTGCCTGTCCCTGGGGCCAGCCCTGGGATCTCCGGGATCTCACTCTACCTTTCTGCATCACCGGCCCACAGCTGCGTGAGGTGAAGAGGGCTCTGGCTAGCATCGGACTTACGGATTGGAGTTGGTCTGGGCTGGGATGGCTTCTCAGTATCAAACTGCTTGTTGCTATAAAGTTCTTCCTTATACATATATGAGGGTCACTGGATTCGTTTCTCTAGATAACCCAGCTGAAGATATTCAGGGTGGGCAGGATCAGAGGAGCTTCCAGGCTAAGGAAGACTAGGAAGAAGGACCTGGTGATCTACTTCCAAAAAAGAAAGGCATACCGAGCAAAGAGCAAAGAAGAACCGATGTGTGTGCGTCATGGCCTTGGTGGTGAGTACTGAATAGATTGGGGACGGTCCGAAGAAAGAGCGAATCTGTGTTGCAGGGAGTCCAACCAGAAGAAGAGATGGCAAGACTGTCTCGCATGCTTTGGACATGTGATGGGTGGGCTCAGTCCCTGCCGGAGGACGTCACCCGTGGTGGAGTGGAAGGTCAGTAAAGCACAGTCAGCCCCTGGATGAGACGGGCCGTACTGTGGGTTCCGACACAGCACCCGTCATGAGGATGGCGCAGGACTGAGCATAGGGGCTGGTGTGCCGCGGGGCGCTGTGAGTCACCCCAGGAACAACCACAAGGAGAGTAGTAGACGCGAGAACAAACCGGAGTTCTGCCAGTGTGGACGCAGGCGGGGTCAACGGTCGAGCAGGCA